ACCTGGTGGCTCTGAGGTGTTGTGTTTTTCAGCCCGGGGGGGATCAGGACCCCTGCAGGAAAACAAAAAGCAGCGGAACGAAAGCTGACTGAATCAGGACAGTAAACCGAGCAGAGAGGTTATCAGGATTCAGCTGAGCTGAGGAGGAAAACACATCTGCTGAGAGTCTGGTGCTGCCGCCATGTTTCCTGTCACATGTGATCTCAGTACATGTGTTAGCACTCAGGAGCTGTCATGTGGATGACTCTCAGCTACTGCCAGTGTTAGCTAAATATCAGYCTCTTTGGTTGCTCAGCTCTGGTGACCCTCTCTAACCCGTGGTCAGTTGTAGACGTGCATCCAGTTTCCTGATGGTTTCACTCACATATTACTGACATATTTTACTAACAGTACWGACAAAAGAACAAACGCTGGTGGTGCTAAGCTACATTGTAGCCACAGCTGCAGGGGCAGCTGCCATGCACCRACAGGCAAGGTGGGTGAAGTGCCTTGCCCAAGGACACAACGAATGAGGCGGATAACAGGGAATTGACCCGGCAAACCACCAGTTAGACCAACTCCCCTAACCTCTGCAACAGCTGCTCAAATCTACAACCAAACAATTGTTCCTCAGAAACTATTCAACTCAGTGTTGTATAAAGCAGAGGTTCTCAAACTGGGGTCCCTGGACCCCCAGGGGTCCGCGAGAGGTAAATTGGGGGTCCTCAATTTTTTTTTACTAAAATGTTAATTTGATTTTTATTTTTGAAAATGAATGGAGAACAATGAAGTGATAAAACAAATATAATAAACTTAATTAAAATTTATATTCCTATGGCATTTAAGGGTTGAAATGACAATAAATTATCTGTTAAAACAGCACGGGGTTTACGAGGGGTCCGCAGACCCAAAAGGTTTGAGAACCCCTGGTATAAAGTACCTCAAAGTGATACTTGAGTAAAAGTACAAGCATCTTATCATAAAAATACTTTGGTAAAAGTTAAAGTCTTCTCTAAAAATATTACTTGAGTAAAAGTCTTAAAGTATCTGATATTTTTTGTACTTAAGTATGAAAAGTAAATTTCTGACACAAAATCTACTTAAGTATTAAAAGTAAAAGTACTGAGTAAAAGTGAGCAGTTAGATTTTACAAAATGACATTTATTGGGAGGTGACTTCTCCAAAAACTATATTTTCTAACAGCGTGCAGCTGTGATGGGTTGTGTACAAGCTAATAGTGTGTCAGAATGGTATATATTTATACTTCTCATCCAAACACAATTAAATTCACTCTATAGGAGACACAGTTTATCTGGAGAGGATTTTTATAAGTAACAACTCAGAATAAAACAGGAGTAACAACTTTCTACTTCTTATCTTTTTAAAAAATGTAGTGAGTAGAAAGTACAGATAATTGTGTAAAAATGTAATGAGTAAAAGTAAAAAGTACACTGAAAAATAATTACTCAAGTAAAGTACAGATACCCAAAAAATCTACTTAAGTACAGTAAAAAAGTATTTGTACTTAGTTACTTTACAACTCTGATCTCTCAAAGGTCATTTTGTCCTGCAGGAACTGAAAGTTGTGATAAATAAATTGGTGAAAAATCTCATGAGCTGAAAAAGAAAAAAAAAACAATCAGTTTTATGAATGTTTGACAAAGTTTCACTCAACAAAGTGAAACTTTATTCAAGGTTTTTGATATTTTGAATCGAATCAAAGAAAATGAGGAGAAGCAAACAGTGACTGCTGACTCTTCTAAATAAAATGAGTTRTAATAAATGTATTTATCTGTAAATGTTCTGTGTGTTTCTACAGGTTTTCTCTGATAGGCTGTCGGCCTGGTGCTGCTCAGGTTACAGCTTCTGCAACATGAAGCAGACAAACACTCTGCTGATCTGAACACACAGTTTCCTTCTCCCTGCAGGAGAACATCCCTCGGACCSGGGCCAATCAGCCTGGTGGGGTCACATCCGGTCCCTCCAGGACAGCAGGTGTCGTCTGTGGGAGGAGGGAGCAGGGCGGGTGCTGGGGCAGAACTGGGTCTGTGCTGTGACAGGTGAAGCTGATCTGGGACACGTGAGGACCTGGTGATGCGTGTCAAACGGCGGCGGGATTAAGGGAAAGGGGTTTGAGCTGTGGTGTGAGCAGGTAACTGTGTCGAGCAGGTGGGGGTCCTCCCTCCTCCACAACAGGTGCACCTGAGGCATCCTGAATCATCATCATCATCATCATCATCATCATCATCGCTGAACAAAACTAAGATTAAGAGTTAAAAGGATTTTAACCATGAAAAACCACACAGAGGTTAACGACTTCACCAGACTGCAAACACAAAGCTCTCCAGGAGGTCACAGATTGGGTTTGTTTCAGTTCAGTTCCCTTACAGCCAGATTATTTCAGATTACAGATGTTTAAATCCTGGAAGTCGGGTTTTTTGTCGAAAGGGGTCAGAGGTGTCAAGTAATTACCATATTTATTCCAGTATAATACGTAAAATTTAATCATAAAATCATCAATAAAGTTGGGGGGTAGTACTATACTCGGATAAATATTTTTACTTATGTATTTTAACTGAAATATCGGCTTCATTCACAAAAGTACGGAAATGAGACAGCTCGTAAAAAGTAGCTGAAGCAAGCTTACTTGTGACACTGGAACAACAACAAACACATGTTCGTCTGTAATGGCTGCCGTCTACCGGTGTTCTGAAAAAGTTTGTATCCCTGAAAAAAGTTTCCCCACCAGAGGGGGCGCTCGCGAGTAGGAAGTAATCTGCTTTTCCCCCACAAGATGGTCCAAATCTCATGTGAAGTCTCTGACTTTTGTGTTGGCGCCTCCTATGTGTAAAATGCCAGAATTCATATGATGCTGCTACAGCTGATATATATTTGTTGTCAAAATAC